CTCGGACGTGCCACCGCCTCTCTCGATGCGTCTCGTGCTCGAGCGTGAGGAACGGGCGAAGCGGATCCAGGTGAAGGAGGCCGAGCTCAAGCGTCTGCGCAAGCAGCACAAGGCGGTGTTGGCCCAGATGGACGCTTATCTGGACGCCGCCTTCTTCAAAGGCGCTGGGTCGCTTCGTGGCGAGGCGATGCTGCGGGAGCTTGAGAAGGAGAACATGGCAATCTGCCATGCTGCTGAGGAGGTGGATTGAGCGCTTCAGCTCCTCCGCCAGGAGGAAGAGGATAGCGAGGCTGCCTTCGCCCAGCTTCGGCAGAAGCGAAAGGAGGAGGCGAAAGCCCAGCGTACGACGGCTCTTGCGGAAGTCAAGGCTAAGATCACCGGCTTCTGCCTGCTGAAGTTCCTCTGAGGCTTGCCTCCTCTTTTTTTTTTAACTTAGTTGATGCCACGCGCATCACAACTTGAAAACTTATGCATGTAAATTTTGGCCCGTAATGGCCTTTAGCTTTTGCTTATCTTTGCTTCGCATGCACAGTTTTCTTTTTTCTTTGTCTGCGCTGTTTGGCATTTGAGTTGAACTTGGCGAGCCTCTGACTATTTTGTTTTGGACTTAGTCGTTTTAGGCTCTTATTCTGCCCTCGGTTGCTCACAGCGTGGGATCGGGACAGGTGATAACTGAATCGTTCAGGGATGTAGGAATGTGACGATTGATTGTTGTAGGAGCCGTCGCATGGTAGACTACTACCCATCAGTTACCCTAAGGGAATGTTAGAATATCTGGAATAGGTCAAGTAGTTCAGGGACGTAGGAGTGTGATTATTGACAGAAGTAATAACACATCGCGTGGTAGGCTATTACTTAGGTTGTGTTACTCGTAGGAATAACGACGCCAATCATCAGAGGTGATCATTAACCTGATGGGGTTTTGTCGCGATTAGAGCAACTGTGGGGACCTACCATTCTTCCGAAGAGGATTGGTAAGTGGATTTTGTCAGAGGTTTAATGTTAACGTGACAGGGGCTGTCGTGATTGGAACGACTTTGAGGACCCACCATCCTTTAGAAAAGGATTGGTAAGTTGATTTTGTCAGAGGTTTAATGTTAACGTGATAGGGACTGTCGTGATTGGAACGATTCTGAGGACCCACCATCCTTTAGAAGAGGATTGGCGGGGGACTATGGCTCTGGTCCTAACTATCTGAAGGTTTGACCAAGTGGGCGTTTGATGCCGCCTACCTGAGATGCTAGCCTCGCCTGTTTTGAGAGGTTCACCAAGACAGGGAGCTTAGCTCAAGAAGTGGATTTCGCCTAGACTGATAGGCTTGCTTGATATGAGCGATTCGCCTGATCTGAGCGGCTCGCCTGATCTGATAACCTGGCTCAAGAAATGGAAGTGTAGGAATAGTTTTACCTCTTATACCAGTTGGAGGGTGTGAGAGCCAGTTTAAACTCATGCACTCGTGGGAGTTGGTGAAGAAGAACTAGGGGTAGTACTTCTTCAGATACTTGCCGTTGATGGGCATCATGATCTTATCGCCATTTGTCTTGACGAGGTGATAGGCTCCATTCGAATAGACTATCTCTACCACGAACGGTCCTTCCCATTTGGATTGGAATTTGCCCTTCTTCTTGAAAGTGAGGATCATTGGTCGGCGAACGGCTAGTACCAGCTCTCCTTCCTTGAAGGCCCGGTGTTTGACTTTCTTATCGAAAGCCTTGGCCATTTGGGCTTGATAGAACTCAATGTGCTGTTGAGCTTCTAGTCACTTGTCATCCAATGCTTCGAGCTCCACGAGTCGTCATTGGTGATTATCCTCCACCGTCATCCCTGCTGCTAGGGTGACGCGGAGGGATGAGATTTGAATCTCTAAAGGCAACACGGCTTCACAGCCGTATACCAATGAATAAGGCATGCTGCCAGTCGGTGTGCGAACCGTTATGCGATACGCCCATAAGCTTTCGCCTAGCTTTTTATTCCAATCGCATTTGCTAGTGGAAGTTAGCTTGGTCAAAATCTTGATGATCGTTTTGTTGAAGGCTTCAGCCAAACCATTCGCCGAAGGGTTGTAGGCCGTGAAAGAGAGATTCTGTATTCGGAATTTGTCATAAAACCTGGTGAATGCATGGATAACGAATTGTGTACCGTTGTCATGAATAATACGCCGGGGGTACGCCGTATCGGTATATGATATGGTGTTTGATAAATTTGATCACGTCATTAGTCTTGACCTCTCTTAAGGGGACGACTTCGGCCCACTTAGAGAAGTAATCGGTGATCGCGAGGATGAAGCGATGGCCTTTTGCCAATGGTGGAGATATTGGTCCGACTATGTCCATCCCTCATGCTTCAAAGGGCCAAGATGCCCTCGTCGGATGCAGATCTTCAGGAGGTTAGTACATGTAGTTAGCGTGGATTTGGCATTCGTAGCAGCGCTTCGCATAAGCGACTGCGTCGATAACCATCCCAGACCAAAAGTAGCCTATCCTCCGCAGGCGATCCCAAAGCTTGGGTTCAGGCTGATGAGCCCCGCACGCGCCGTCATGGGCTTCGCGTAGGGCCTCTTGCGCCTCTGCCTTTGAAAGACATCGAAGCAACAAGCCGTCGTATGACCTCCGATATAGCGTCTTAGTGGTTGAATCATAGTAGAACCTCGAGGCACGTCGTCGGATAGACTCTCGTTCCCTTGCGTCTTTGGGTAACATGCCGTATAGGATGTAATCGATGATCGGGAGATGCCAGTCTTCCTAATCAGGCTGATCCAGGGTTTGATGGGTGGCGTTCTCCTCTGGGACGTCTTTTAGTCGAAAGAGTTTTCGGCTGGCGACTGTGACCCGTTGGGTCGTTCCCAAAGGCTGGGCCAAGTTAGCCGCCAAGGATGCAAGAGCGTCTGCGTGCGTGTGCTTGGAACGGAGCACGTGCTCAATGCATAAATTCTTGAACGACTCCACTAGTTTGATAGCCGCTTTGTGGAGCGGGATGAGATCGACGTTCCTGACTTCGTATTCGCCAGTCATTTGCTTAACGATGAGTTGGGAGTCGCCGTAAGCCTTCAGATGCTTTATCCCTAATTCTCTGGCCAACTCGAGCCCTATGAGTAACGCGTTGTACTCAACCACGTTGTTGGTGCACGGTTCTGTTAAAGAAAAGGCCCGGGGTAACACGTGACCATGCGGAGAGGTGAGGACCACCCCCACTCCTGCAGCGATAGAGCCGCTTGCGCCCGCACGAGACGCGCCGTCGAAGAACATCTGCCACCCCTCTGGTGATGAAGTCACATTGGCTTCGGGGGGTTCATCTGGCAGATCTTCAAACAGGTCGGTCTTCGCCCCCAGCGGGTGACTAGCCATGAGATTGCAGATGGCCTGTCCCTTGACTGATTTTTGTGGCATGAAGTGGATATCATATTAAGAGAGCAGAAGTGCCCACCTGGCCAGGCACCAGTTTAACGCTGCAGGTTGTGTCATGAAGACCCGAATGGGGTTCATCCGGGAGATGACATGGATCGTTTGGCCAACTAGGTAGTGCCGCATCTTTTGGATGGTGAACACTAAGGCTAGGCATTCCTTCTCGACCATTGGGTATCGCTGTTCGGCGCCTTGCAAGGTTCTGCTCAGGTAGTAGATACCTTGCTCGTGGCCCGCATCGTCGTTTTGTGCCAAGAGGGCGCCCAGAGAATGTTCCATGGCCCGTATATATATGAGGAATGGCCTCCTTGAGATTGGCGCCGCAAGGACGGGCGGGTTTGAGAGATAAGCCTTGATTTTCTCAAAGGCCTGTTGGCAAGACTCGTCCCACACGAAGGATGTACCTTTCTTCATCAGCTTAGAGAAGGGTTGACATTTGCCCGAGAGATTTGAGATGAACCTTCGGATGTAAGCCAGTTGTCCTTAGAGGCCTCTTAGCTCTTTAAGATTTCGGGGGCGGTTGAAGCTCTTGAATAGCTCGCACTTTGTCTGGATCAATCCATATTCCTTTCGTCGTGATGACGAAACCGAGGAATTTACCGCTAGACATCCCCAAGAATGACTTAGTAGGATTCATCTTGAGTTGATGAGTCCTCATGAGTTCGAACATCGCCTTCAAGTCTTAGAGGTGGTCCTCCTTATGGTGACTCTTCACGACCAGGTCATCTACGTAGCATTCGACCGTCTTTCGCAGATGATCTCGGAAAATCATACTCATGGCGCGTTGGTAGGTTGCGCTAGCGTTTTTTAGTCCGAAGGGCATAACGGTGTAGCAGTACACCCCCATGGGGGTTCTGAATGAAGTGTGGTTCTCGTCCTCGGGGTGCATTTTGATTTGATTGTACCCCGAGAAACCATCCATGAAGGACATCCTCTCGAATCCGCACGTGTTGTCAATGATGACATCCGTGATGGGCAGGGAAAATTCGTCTTTAGGGCACGTAGTGTTAAGGTTCCTAAAGTCGATGCAGATACGAATCTTACCGTTTTTCTTCAGGACCGGAACAATATTGGCCACCCAGTCGGGGTGTTGTTCTTCCCTGATGAAACCGGACTCAATTAGTTTCTTCACTTCGACCTCAATTGCCTCCATGATCTGAGGGTAAAACCGCCTCTGCTGTTGCTTGACTGGTTTGGCGTCTGGGCTGATGTTGAGGCGATGCATGGCGATCCGCGGATCCAGACCGGGCATGTCCTCGTAATTCTAGGCGAAAACGTCAATGTATTCCCATATGAGGGCAATGAGGTCCTCTTTTTCCTGGGGAGGCAAACTGCCGCTGATGAATATAGGTTTGGGATTCGCCTCGCTACCCATGTTCACCTGGAGGATTTCGTCTTCGGTCGGTGGCTCACGTTGTTCAAAGCGATTGGTCCACTGGGCGTTAATATGGTGATCCCACGTCTCATCGTAAAGTGGAACTTGTCCATCCTCCGCCATTTCGGAGAGGTTTATTGTAGCCATGTTGACTGTAAGGCTATCGAACAGATCCCTCACGCTAACATCCGAGTCCCATGCCGAGATTGTTGATGATTGATCCCCCGAGCATGCATAGTCGGAATCCTCGTTGGCGTAAAAACACAAATCTGACGAGGAGGAGGAGTAGCCTAAGCCTCTCCGAGTCCTGTTGAAGTAATTTGAGGGTTTCCCCTTGGGTACGTAGGTGGGTCGGATGACTGTTCTGCGCCCTCAACCGTAATTCAAGCCCTCTAAACGAGTGAGGTCATACCCCATGTCGCTCATCATGCGCTTCGCAACATGACTGTATTACGAAAACTGGGGCGCCGGGTCCTCGTCCTCAGATTCATCCCATAGCGTGCGTAGGGGATGATCGATTCGACCGAAGATAATGTCTTTTCGATACCTATTCCGTGCTGGCACGACGAGCACAGCTTGTGATGATTTGATCGGCTGTGCCTTGGCGACGTATGACGAGCATACTGGCAAGTGCAGGGAAGGATCACCGTAGAGTTCTGACCATAGGTTATTAGGCGGATGTGGAACAATATGACAAATAAGCAAAGTTGGACTTCTCATTCATGATAACTTCCTCCGCCTGAACAGCATTTGTTACATTGTGACTCTCGTAACCGATTACAATTGACTCGAAGTCGTTCAGGATTAGGCTGTCGCCGTACTCGGGCTCGCTGTCTGCCTCGTTGCCACTCTCCGGCTCCTTCGCTGGCGGCACGTCGGGGTCCTGGTACAGCAGAGAATCTGTGAAGTAGTTTTCGACGCCTTTAAAGGGTTGTCTGTCGGCCACTATTGTCTTCACTCGCTCGTAATCGTCCACGTACTTCAGGCATTGGTGAAGGGTAGATGGGACTATTCGGTTGCCATGGATCCACGGGCGTCCTAAGAGCACGTTGTAGGAAGGCTCGGCATCGATGACGTAGCACGTTACCTCCATCTTCATGTTGCCTATTCGACATTTCAGGCGGATTTTGCCGAGCGGCCGAGTCCCTGTGGCGTTGAAGCCAAAGATGGTCGTCGTAGTCGAGGATAGGCGCTTTGGCGGTATCCCAAGTGTTTGATCAATTTCAAAGGTATGATACTCAACGCGGACCCTGGGTCGACCTGAATTCGATCTACCTTTGATGAACCAACGTACCACGTGAAGTATAATGGTCGTTCATGAGATGTGCTCTTGATGAGCATGTCTTCCGGAGTGAAGGTGATGCGCGGGACCCGTCTCTCGGACGTTTGGCAACACGTTGCACATCCCTGTTCAGAGTCCTCTTCCCTCAAGAAGTGGGTGGAGAAAACCTCCGAGTCGGCCAGCGCCTCTTGCAGAGCTTCCCTGGTAGGCCTGGATAGTCGTAGAAGATCATACATAGTGATTCTTGTAGGGATGCTTTTCAGCTACTTGAGTATATTGAACTGGAAATGCTGGCGGCTTGAGCCTAGTCCTTCTGGATTAGGAGGGGCTATTGCGACTGGCCTCATGGGAGGTCCTGCCGGATTCTCCACCCTCGCGGGATATTCCTTCGCGAATTCCTTCCCTGCTCTCGTGGCGAGGACAGTGGTTTCCTCTTCGGAGTCGGTCAGGGTGGTCATCGTTGTCTTTTCTCCACCTAGAATGGCGGAGATGACATTACAGTGTTTTCCTTTAGCCCCTTTCGAGGACTTTGTAGTCCACTGTTCGTCATTAATGAGGTCCGGATGGACCCACATCACCTGACCCGACGGCAGAATCTACGAAGCTAAACCCTTCTCCCACTGGTTGTGAGGGTCATCGTTGATGATCTTCAAGACGGCCTTGGGAATGGGAATTATCCTTGCCGGAGCTTGGACTTCCGGGAGATTTGTTCCAAAGCTCAAGGTGATCATATTCGTGATCACCTGCTTTTGAACTTTCTCCTTCTTCAGGACCCCCGCATCGTAGAGGGCTTGGAGTTTGTCCTTAAGGACGTAGCATTTGGTTGTGGTGTGGCCCAGGAATTTGTGGTAGGCACAGAACTCGGGTCATTGGTTTTGTCCGCCTCTTCAAGCTTGGTGGCTTCTGGCAACTTAATCCGCCCACTCTTGAGCAGAGTGTCGAATGTCGCCACCACCTGATCCTCTTTAAAATCATATTGCCGTGGGGGGCATGGTTCGAATTGCCTGGGTTTCGGCTTTTGAGCGGCCTTCGGCGCCGGGGTAGAGTCGACGGCCATGATCTCTTTTCCTCTAGACCGAGGGGGATTCTTTGGCGTGGCTGGTTCTGCAGCTCCCTTGTTGGGCTACGGTTCTTCGGCCTCTAGGCTTTTGATCATGTTTTCTACTTGCTCACCCTGGCAAACAAGCTCCTTCCACGTCTGGGTTTCCACCGCGCCTACTTTGGATAGGATGTGGATCGAGAGATTATTGCGGCACATCTCGATCAGTGTGGATTTGGAAACTTGGTCCCGACAGTGGACTGATCGGTTGCTGAACCTTTTCACGAAG